CCTTGTTCCTAGGTAGCTAATGGGTTATGGGAGGTGCAGCAAGTACTGCCAAAAAAAGGTTTGAGTAATGAAATAGATTTGAAACTCGCAAGAACATTGTAAACATGTTGACCACTCCCCTTGTTTTGCTTTGTGTGATCTGACTATAAAATAAAGCTTCAGCTTAAAGGCTGGGTCACTGTTTTCTCTTCCAGGCACAGTGATCCTACCTAGCCCCAACTGTATTCTCTTTGCTGAACTCCTGGGCTCCTTTGCCCATAATTCTTAAAATCATTTCCCTCATTGAAAGGACAGTACTTAATTTTTAGTCACTTAATTCCATTTAGGTCATTAGCCTTTTTAAAATGTCATATTTGGTGCCCGGTTTGGTGTGCTCAGTTCGTTGGAGTGTCATCCCGTATACCAAGAGGTCCTTTGATCCCTGGTTGGGCTCATGCAGGAGGCAACTGATTTTTCTCTCACATCAATATTTTTTTCTTTCTCCATCCCTTCCGCTCTCTAAAATCTATAAAAATAAATAAGAATTTCATATTTGGGAAGGTTTCACATTGAATTAAAAACAAGATGCCACCTTTGCCACTTCAAAGTTTCACTAGGAAAGATTCCAAAATCATATACAACAATCTCCATAATAAATAATCTTTAGTTAACATAGAATAAAAATATAAAATATGAAGAGTATGAAGAAAAGAATTTTTAAAAAATACTCCTCCCTGAAGTCAATGAAAGTAACAACTACTTATGGCAAACATCAGAAGCAACCTATAGCCAACAGTGCTAAGTATAATTCTTGCATTAGAATGTCAGATTTCTTATACTACAGTGTCAGAAAGTTTTATTGTTTACCACTAAAGTGCTTAATACAATAATCTTTATATTTTAATAAAATTTCATTAAAATTTAAAGGTCTGATAAATGCTTCATTTTTATTTCTAGAAAAGTTCCTGGTCATATGCAGCTTTGGACAAATTCTTATTCTGACACTTGGCCATTCTGTATTTAGCCAAACAATTCAGAGCACCACTAGTTTCTATATATTCATAATGAGGACTGTAATTGCATAGAAAGAGATCTGGAAAAACAAACCAATCAGATGATGATAGCATGGAAACTGGTGATGACAGTGACAGTAATAGTTAAAATTTACACAGCATTCTCTATATTTTAATATAGTACTTGAAAAAATTGATATGTATTTATGAGTTTTATTTACATAAGCCAAACTACAGAGCTAAAATAACATTTCATCCTATATAATAAAGAGCTAATATGCTAATTAGACTGAACAGCCAAACGACTGTCCAGACGACCTTCTGAAAGAAGCCCAGGCTGTGAGGGCCAGCGGGGGCAGCCAGGGCTGCGAGGGCCGAGCCCCTTGAACGAATTTTGTGCATCAGGTCTCTAGTTTTCTAATAAAATATTATGATTAGCACAGATTTTAATCAGGCCTTCTCTTAGTTGATTAAATCCTCCAAACTTTTTTTTAAATCTATTTTTACTGACTTTATTTTTTTTAACATATTTTATTGATTTTTTACAGAGAGGAAGGGAGAGGAATAGAGAGTTAGAAACACTGATGAGAGAGAAACATCAATCAGCTGCCTCCTGCACAACACCCACTGGGGATGTGCCCGCAACCAAGGTACATGCCCTTGACCGGAATTGAACCTGGGACCCTTCAGTCCGAAGGCCGACGCTCCATCCACTGAGCCAAACCGGTTAGGGCTATTTTTATTGATTTTAGAGAGGAAGGAAGAGGAAGAGAAAAATAGAAATATCAATGATGAGAGAGAATCACAGATAGGCTGCCTCCTGCATGCCCCCCACTGGTGATCAAGCCCACAAATGGAATTGAATCCTTGTGTCCTTGACTGAATTGAACCCGGGACCCTTCAGTCTGCAGGCCGACGCTCTATCCACTGAGCCAAACCAGCTAGGGCCTCCAAACTTTAATGTCAGTTTCATTTGAGGAAGGGAGAGAGGCTGTTTTAGTCCATATTATTAAAAGGAGGACTTGTATATACACACATGAAAAGGTTATTGCAACTCAATTTCCATAGAAGTAGACTTCTCAGAGAAAGGGATATCTCTCTTCTTCCAAGTAAAGGATTAGAGCTACCATCATTTTGGCCTAAAGCAGGTTTTCCAAACTCATGCTTCAGGATGACCCCCAGTTACAATGGGAGAGGTGGGGACTCCGGCAAATTGAATAGAGCTTGTTCATCAAAAGTGGACAGGGTCACCCAGCCAATTGTTGCCACCTAGAACTATTGACCTAGTATATTCAAATCACCTAATTTTTTCAAGAGAAATCAGAAATACACATCTTCTGCATTTAAACTAAAATTTCCTAAAAATACCATATGGGGAAAAACAAAAAAGTAATCTGCGGCCCTCATTTATCCAGTGGGGCCATTAGTTTACGTCTTGTAGCTTAGACCAGGTGTACCGGTTAATAATGCGAATTTTGTAATCAGAGAAAACATGGTAATTTCAAAAGAAACATCAAAAGTGCTTTATTCAAAGTAATGTCCATCATGAGCTACACATTTCCCCCATCTTTCAGGTAATTTGTGGATACCGTCCCAATAGAACTTTTCTTGTTTTGAGGCAAACCATTCAAAGACACAATTTTCCACTTCTTCATACATTTTGAAGTGCTGTTCAGAAAGTGCGTGTGTAATCTGAAGGAGCAAGGTCTGGTGAATACAGCGGGTGGGTTAATACTTCCCAGGCAAGATCTTTTAACGTGTCTTTAACTGGTTTTGAAGTGTGTGATGGTGCGTTATCATGAAGCAAAATTACTTTGCCGTGTCTTCTGGCACATTCTGGTCGTTTTCCAATCAAAGCGTGGTTCAAATTGATTATTTGTTGTCGGGATCGATCAGTATTAACGTTTTCACCTAGTTTTAGAAGCTCATAATACACCACACCTTCCTGATCCCACCAAATGCAGAGCATTGTCTTCTTTCCAAAGTGATTTGGCCTTGTAGTCGATGTTGATGGTTGACCTGGATCAACCCATGATTTTGTGCGTTCGGGACAAACGCTCAAAATAAATCCACTTTTCATCGCCAGTCACAATTCAATGCAAAAAAGACTTTCTTTCATGCTGATGAAGCAACATTTTACTGATGACTTTTCGGTTTTTCCATTTGTCTTTCGTTCAGTTGATGTGGCACCCATTTTCCTTCCTTTAAAATCTTTCCCATTGCTTGTAAACGATCAAAAATTGTTTGCTGAGCAACATTTAATCTTTCTGCAAGTTGTTTTTGAGTTTGACATGCATCTTCATCCAATAATCCTTGTAATTGTTGGTCTTCAAACTTTTTCGGTTGACCAGGACATTATTTGTCTTTCACATCAAAATCATCACTTTTAAAGCATTTAAACCAGTGTTCACAAGTATCCTGAGATGGAGCATGTTCACCATAAGCTTCCTGAAGTATTCAGCAACACTTTTCTTCAAAATAAAGTAATGAATTAAAACTTCCCGCAAATGCTCTTTTTTTGGCACGAAATTCAACATTTTTTGTTGGGGTCCAGCCCCATCAGGTCCAGGGGTTCCCAAAGGTGTGGACAGAGTCGGCAAAGAATGAAGGACATGGAGGCAGCGTTCAGTTGATCAGCATAGTTGGGTTCTCTCTTTATTGTCCTGTTACATCTGTATTTATACCATTTGATCCTATAAGCATGCCTCTATAATCACATCATGGTATGTTTTGGGTAACGTTCTACAGTTCCTTGTTTCTTATCTGACCTTTGCCAAAAATCCTGTCTCTATCTAATTCTGTTGATTTTAATCTTGTCTAGGTTAATCTCTGTGTTCCATTACAAGGGCTATTCCAAGGTCACTGCTCTACTGATAGGCTACAAGGAAGTGACTGAAGGAGATTATCCTACCCAGTAAAGGTTATGTCCTCCCAGCCTCGCTGCTTGCCTTCCCTGGGACTGCCCTGTGTCGGTGGATCTCCAGGGGTATAGGCTTTGGTGCTTTCTCTGGTGGGCAGACCCCTGGGGATGTGGGCCCAACAAGTCCCAAATTTATTGCCAACAGTCTTAGTCCAAGTTCTTCATAAGTAGTACATGGTATTTCTGTAACACTATGGGGATTTACTGATTTATTCTCTTCCTTAGTCCTGTTAATCCCTAACCTGGGGAAACAACCTTTCTCGGGGAGGTGGTCCTGTTTAAAACACATAGTGCTAAGAGGGGGAGCAAACATATGCCATATATGCCAGGTCCCTTGAAACATAAGCTGTGCAGATGTTTCTTCCCTGCAGCGACTGTGTCAAGCAGCAAGGGTGGACCGGCTTCTGGCAATTTTTAAGCGTAAAAGTATCTATGATGTTAACACCCTCAGAAAATTTGACATATGAAGTTTTGAAGCTTGCTGTCAATACAAAATAGCATACATATCAAATCGCATATATATCAACATATGTGTAACTCCATCTATTGAAAAAAATTCGCATTATTAACCAGTACACCTGGTAGAGACATCTTATTAATGTTTCATTTAAAAAGACCAATTCTGCCCTAGCCAGTTTGGCTCGGTGTTTAGAGCATCGGCCTGTGGACTAAAGGGTCCTGGGTTTGTTTCCAGTCAAGGGCACATGCCTGGGTTGCAGGCTCAATCCCCAGTAGTGGGCTTGCAGGAGGCAACCAATCAATGATTCTCTCTCATCATTGATGTTTCTGTCTCTCTCTCCCTCTCCCTTCCTCTCTGAAATCAATAAAAATATATTTTAAAAAGATAAAAATAAAAAGGCCAATTCTAAGAAAAATAAAAAATAAAAATAAATAAAGATCAATTCTGGGTAACTAAACTTTTCTCAGAAGTTGGAATATTTCCTTACAAATTTAATATGCATCTCAGAAGCCTGTAGGCTTATGACGAATTTTAGATGCTTCATTATTGAGTCTTATTAATCTATAAATTTGCTAAAATATTTGCCCCACAGCTACAAGAATCCTAGCAGCATTCATACAAACCATACCTCTGCCTCATGACTAGGTATCGGAGGTCCAGGCACCCCTTAACAAAGAGGCCATAATCCTGCAGAAGCTTGCTGGCATCTTCTGAACATCCTACTCCAACTTTTAAAATAGTGCCATCTGCCAACATATTCAATAATGTTTTTGGTAGTGTTTTTCCTCCACAGATCAGCTTGGACAAGCGAACCAAGACACAGAAGCCACTTGGGGAGGCCATTTGAAGAAGCGACAGAGGATTGGCTTTCCCTTCCAAGTTCACCTGCAACAGAGGAAAAAACAGGGCCACAGTTCATACCCTAGCACAGTACCAAGTACAACATGAAACTGTGGCAAAAGTCTAAGAGGAACATCCTTAACTTCCCAAAGGGAGCAGTTGACTAGATTTTGGTTCAAATCTAAGAATCAGCTTATGCTAATAAATGCAATGAACTTTGTAAAGCAGCAACTTAAACAAAGGATACTGAAGGCCCAAACTCCAGAGCCTGAAATACGAGCAGTCCATAAATAGTGACCAGCTGACACAGAGGCGCCCTGGGACACACACTGGCAGAGTCATGTGAAACATACTGGTTTTAAAAGGCTAATGGGAAAAAAAAGGCTAAGGAGCAGAGTGCCAGATGATAAACATAACTCTTTTTATTATCCAGACTCTCTTACGTTACATGCTAGTGACTTTAACTCATTTACCTTATCATCACTGCTTCAAGATCCGATGTTTAAAAAGAGGTAGGAAATACAATGCTAGTACAAATAAGTGGTACCTGTCATTATAATAAATCCTGGTAGCACAGAATGCTTTCTCAACATTTTATGGTCACAAATATTGGTCATAAAAGAAGAAAATATATACTGGCATAAGCTAGGATCCTTATACCTTAAGAGATGAAAATAACTATATATTAACTGATCTAGTTTTAATCTTTTTTGTTTTGCTTTGTTTTTTAATTTTATTTTTCAATTACAGTTTACATTCAATATTATTCTGTATTGCTTGCAGGTGTGTAGTTGTTTTAAGATGTTTTATTTATTTTTAGAGAGAGAGGAAGGAAGAGGGAGAGAGGGAGCGGGAGAGGGAAAGAGAGAGAGAGAAAGAGAGAGAGAAAGAAAGACAGAGAGAAAGAAACATTGATGTGAGAGTGAAACATCAATTGGCTGCCTCCTGCAAGCCCCTTACCAGGGATCGAGCCCACAACCTGTGCATGTGCCCTGACCAGGAATTGAACCAGCAATCTTTTGGTGCACAGAACAACGTGCAAACAACTAAGCCATACTAGCCAGGGCTCAGGTGTATAGTTTTAATCTTTTTGAGGTAATAGATAAGTTGGAGAAAATGCTTAAAGCTAAAGAAGCTATTCCCAGAAATATTTACATACAAAATTCACATTAATTAAAGGTTCCTTAGTATCCAATAAATTCCAATCCTCATTTTCCAAGAGAGGAAATGTAAGTCCTATGGGTAAAGCTGTTTGCTTAATCATGGAAAGAGAATGGCAAAGTCAGGACTAGAACCGAAACTTCCCTATCTCGAGAACAGCAGTTCTCAACCAGCATTGATTTTGCACATACACACCCCACCCAGGACTTTTGGCAATATCTGGAGAAATTGCTGGTTGTCACAACTAGGGAGAGAGTGCACTGGTATCCACTAGTTAGAGGCCAGAATGCTGCTAAACACTCTACAATGTACAGGATAGCCCCTCACAACAAAGAATCATCTCCCCAAAATGTTACCAGTGGAGAACCCTGCTCTAGGCAATGCTATCCTCTTACTACTACAGTATCAGTATGTAAGGCATTGCACCAGGCGCCATTGTGGATATAAACTTATATGAGATGGAACCTGCCTTAAGGATTACAACCTTTCAGGTAGAGTACTATACAGCTCACACCCTTAGAAACTGCATGGTAAATAAACAAAGTGTTACAAGTAATCAAGGGAATGATATATCATTGTTGAGATGACCAGTATCACAAAGAAGCAGCAATCAGGATCACAAAGAATTGTTGTTAAAAACAAAATTCAGGAGGGCCTTAGCCCTTAACTTGAACTTCAATGCTAAGTAAAACCATGGCTTACCTCATAAAAGCCTTAGGATTTCCCTGCTTAGGCACCGATTTATCGATGAGGGCTATTTCCATATCCTCAAAAGAAAGCATGCCAGTTTAATCTTTAATGTGCCTATTTCTTGGGGCTCAGACAAGGTAAAAAAGACTACAAGAAATTTACTATTGAGTCCTGTTCCATAATAATTCATCTGGATGTGGCCAAATTGCCTTTTTTATTGAGTAATTCCTTTCCTCTGTAATACCAGATCTTTCTATTAAAAAGCTATAAATCTCCACTTCTAATATTTAGCCTGCTAATTTGACACAATACGCACTGCAAATTCCTAATGCTGCCTCTCTTAACATCTTTTTCGTCAGTCCCCCTGTCTAAAATACATTAAGTAAATAACTAGCTAGGTGGACAGATATACAAGTTCTTGTCTTTTTAATACTATTTCTGGATTGTGCTTAAGATCCAATATATTACAATTAAGGTTTTCCTATTAGGAATCCAAATGTTTATGATTCCAGTAGGTACGCAATTTTTTAAAAATATATTTTATTGGTTTTTTACAGAGAGGAAGGGAGAGGGCTAGAGAGCCAGAAACCTCGACGAGAGAGAAACATCGATCAGCTCCCTCCTGCACACTCCCCACTGGGGATGTGCCTGCAACCAAGGTACATGCCCTTGATTGAAATCAAACCTGGGACCCTTGAGTCCGCAGGCTGACGCTCTATCCACTGAACCAAACCAGTTAGGGCTAGGTACACAATTTATACTAAGTGCATAATTGGAAAAATAATGCTTTTAGCAGAGTCAATATGGCTTAATTAATAGAAGATCTAGTTTTTATTTCTCATATGTTTACCCCTTTTGCTTTCTGACATCTTCGTGTCTCGGTATCACTTATTACTCATGGAAAACAATGAAACCCTTAATGGGAAAAGACATGACATATTTTAATTTTATTAGCATTATTTAATTCAGTGGTCTCTGATTTTTTTTTTTTTTTGATTGTTCAACTCATAAAAAATATTTGAGCTTGGCCAGTTTGGCTCAGTGGTTGAGCATCGACCTCACGGTTCAATTCCTGGTCAGGGCACCTGCTAAGATTGCAGGCTCAGTCCACAGTAGGGGGTGTGCAGGAGGCACCAGCTGGTTTGGCTCAGTGGATAGAGTGTTGGCCTGCAGGCTGAAGGGTCCTGGATTCAAATCTGGTCAAGGGCATATGACAGGTTGTGGGCTTGATCCCCAGTAGGGGGTGTGAAAGAGGCAGCCAATGATTCTCTCTCATCATTGAGTTTCTATCTCTCTTTCCCTCTCCCTACCGCTCTGAAATCAATAAAAATATATATTAAAAAAATTTTTTTAAATATTTGAGCCCAGGCCGGTGGTTAAAGTGTCAGCCTGAGCACCGAAGGATTCGATTCCCCATCAAGGATTCCTGGGTTTCAGGTCCGATTCCCAGCCCAAGTCGGTCGGGTGTGTGCAGGAGGCAACCAATCGACCTTCCTTCCTTCCTTCCTTCCTTCCTTCCTTCCTTCCTTCCTCTCTCTCTCTCTCTCTCTCCCTCTCCCTCTCCCTCTCTCTCTTTCTTTCTTTCTCTGTCTTTCTCTCCCTCTCCCACCCTCCCCTCCCTCCCTTCCACTCTTTCTGAAAATCAATACAAAAAATATCCTCAGGTAAGGCTTTAAAAAAAAAAAGTTTGGGACATACACAACATGTATGCCTAGGTATTTATAATTATATACATGTAGTAATATATATACTGATGTGTTACATCATTACATATACACAAAAATAACAATTTTAAATGAATAATGGCATCAATCATTACAGACAAAATTTCTAACACTTTTTTCCATATTTCAGTAACTCACTTAGAGAATACTGGTTTAGAATCCTCTTTCCTGAGGGCCAGTGGATAATCCATTTTAGTTTCAGGATTCTTTTTCTTTTCTTTTTTAAAATAAAGCACTGCATACTTATTGCCAAAAACATACAATTATACAAAAATAAAAAAATATCCAAACTCCACAACCCAGAAATAAACACTGTTAACATTCTAATATTTTTTCCAGACTTCTTTCTTTGCATCTAAAAATACTTGTAGTTTTAACATATTTGTGATTGTATACTATGGACTATAGTTTTAGTTTTTATATTTTATTGTCTCTATTATGTTTTTATATATGTGATACATCAAAATGATAGACTTGTATGTAATTTATAAAGCATCTAATCTAATAAAAGAGAAACATGGTAATTGGCGAACGACCGCTACCCTTCCCATTGGCTAATCAGCGTATCCTTATGCAAATCAACTGTCAGCCAAGATGGCGGTTAACCGCCAAAAAAAAATGGCGGCTAATTTGCATACGGGAGGCGAAAGGGGAAGGACTGAAAAATGGTGATGGCAACCCAGGCAGCAGGTAAGAGCTAGGGGGTGGGCAAAGGCCGCCTTCCCCCACCCCCCAGCCAGTGATCGTTATTGGAAAACCCGGCG